AAAAAAAAAAAAAAAAAAAAAAAATTTAAAAAAATCTCATTAAACTGTTTTTCACTATTGGTTTCTATGCAACACCTAAAAAAGAAAAAGACAGACAAAGTTACAGAGCACAAATTTTCCTGCTACTAAAAAAAACTTTTTTTTATTTACAAATCATAAAAGTTAAAAAATAGTAGTAAAAGTTTGAAAACTTTCAAAAGAAAAATAAATAAATGAGAATTTGCTGTATTATGTTGCACAGTTTGACCGCGTAAATAGAAATGACACTTGTCTTTCTTTTTCAAAATAATCTTGTGACAAAACTAACTTTATTTTTAGCGGCCCTATTATCTTGCCCAGAGTATGCAAAAAAAAGGAAAAAAAAATAAAACTAATGCAGTTGACAAATCAAATTTAGCTATTAGATCAACATCAAAAATCCTGGCATTTGTCTGAATAGTCGATGAGTTCACTGAGGTAATCACAGTGTTTATACTAAACAACCACTCGCTTAACCATTGCACTACCTTATTGTCGTGGTTGCTCCTTCCCCAAAATAAACTCTGCACTTCCACAGCAACTTTTAAAAGTAAATTGAGTACATTATGCTTTCCCTTTTGCAACAAACACTTGTAGCTCAGTTTATAAAGCTCTTCACCAATAACTTGTACCACTCTAATGGTCAAAAAGTGAACAATCAGAAATTTAAGAAAAATTCCTGTCAAAACTGTTTAGATTATTAGACAAATTCAGCTGTTTTACTTGCTAATAGTAGGTATTGCTCCAAATCTATTGCACTAATTTCCTAGCAAACGATTTAAGACCGCATCCGCAATGCAGAGAGGAACCTATCTGACTAAGCTGACTGTACCAAGTATTTCAAAAGCATGAAGAAAAGTTTTTATATTACTACAAACAAACCGGCAATGAGTACACACCTGTACAGAATTCAAAGATCATGTAACTCCTCCTAAATCTTCAGGTCCCCACAACATTAGATAATCAAAAGCCCTAATTTCTAGGAGGAAATTTAGAATGAATAAAAAGAAACAGAAATTAAAATAACTACAAGTTGATTTCTGGGTTAATTACAGGAGAAGCAATAGATATAACTAATTTGTATTAATTATCAAAGTGCCTATTTTGGAGCAATCATATTCTCTGGCCGCACCCACTGCTCGAATTGCTCTTCAGTGAGGATTCCAAGATTTACAGCCTCCTGCCGTAACGTGGTCCCATTTTTATGTGCTGTTTTAGCAATTTTGGCTGCGTTGTCATAGCCGATATGTGGATTCAATGCAGTTACGAGCATAAGAGACTCATTAAGAATCTTCTTGATATTTGCCTGAAAAAGTTCACCATTATGTGTGAGAATTAGAAAAATCAGTGTTTTTAACAACGATGGCAGATTGCCAAACGATTTACTATCTATAGCACGCTTACTTCATTAGCTTTGATGCCGTCCACGCAGTTAGTAGCGAAGGATACGCAAGCATCAGCAATTAAGCGTGTTGATTGCAATACGTTCCTCACAATCATTGGTTTAAAGACGTTTAACTCAAAATGTCCATTAGAACCTCCTACAGTTACAGCCACCTAAACAGATCACGAATAGTCACCGAAAGTTATTATCATCCCAGAAGCATAAAAACTAATCAACAAACAACGATTTACCTGGTTACCGAATACTTGAGCGGCAACCATAGTTACTGCTTCACACTGAGTGGGGTTGACCTTCCCAGGCATGATAGAACTTCCAGGTTCATTCTCAGGTAGAGAGAGCTCACCTAGGCCACATCTTGGGCCAGAACCCAAGAACCGGATGTCGTTAGCTATTTTCATTAAACTTACAGCAACAGTGTTAAGGGCGCCATGCATCTAAAAATCGAAAAAATGGAAACAAAAGTTAATTTCTGGGAACTTAGAAGATAATTATATTTTATCGTAAAAAACAAAACTAAAATTTGCACTAAATATCTACCTCCACCATCGCGTCGTGAGCTGCTAAGGCTTCAAATTTGTTCGGTGCAGTTTTAAACGGCAATCCCGTTAACTGGGAAACTTTCCTAAAATTTAAAAAGTAAAATAGTGAAAGAAAAATACAGAAAATAAGTCTAGCGTAAGTAAGTCAAGCAAAAGATGAATGACTTACTCAGCCACTTTCTCTGCAAAACCAACTCGAGTGTTAAGTCCTGTGCCCACAGCTGTACCACCAGCAGCAAGGAAATACAAACGCGGCAAAGCTGCTTTTACCCGTTCCAAACCATTTTCCATCTAAAACAGTGATAATAGTGCGGGAAATAAGATATAATAAGAACTATACA